TGGCAATGAAGAAGGTTCAGTCGGTGTTGATGATTCAATATGTTCTGTATTAAGGGTAGACGAAGGTTCAGTTACTGGCGGCATCGTACAATTGACATTTGCAGGTTTATCACATATGTGATATTTCGGGTTGAAGTAATCACCTCCGTGACATTGCTGGGGGTGTAATTTTGAATCAGAGCATAGGTAGTATTTCATACAGTCATAATTGTGGGGGTAGAACCTGCCGTTTTTCGAGCCGTCAGAGGGACACATCTCCTGTTCCTTCGAATGAAGAGTTGAGCTTTCAACTTCTTCCACATCTGTAGTTGAGCTTTCACCCACAGTTATTCGATTCTTACAGCCTGAATGATCTGGCCAATCACATACTTTCAGTTCTGCATTGAAGTACAGCCTATTCTTGAGGTCGTTCATGTACGGACATCGCATAAGTATCTTTTGCGATCCAACGCATTTATAGAATTTCGTGCAGTCTGACTCGTGCGGAAGAAAAACAAGGGCGTATCCTGAATTTACTTCAGGACATTTGATCGATATTTGCGCATCGAATTCCTCTGCATATACCGCAAATAGCAATGCTGCCATCCAAGCACAGGTGGCCCAGTGCCCTTGATGAAAAACATGGGAGATCAGTAAAAACTGGTGATTCGTTCAATTAAAAAGACTTTCACTAGAGAATCAGTAACATTAGGCCCGCTCACCTCCATGAAGTCAGCAAGTCAGGAGTATAATTTGGAAATTCCGACTGGCGATAAATAATGTGTTAATTATGTGTTTTTTTGTACCACAAAGAAAAACATTTTTTCCATGATAGTTAGCTTTGAGCCGTGTTGTGTGAGCACGAATAATTCTCCTGATCGCTATGATCGGGAAATGATTTTCTTTTTGTTTTTCCGAACTATTTGAGTGGAGGGCAATTTAGAACATCCAATGTTCCGAAAAAAATCATGATTTTAAGGTCCTGAAACTTTTTAGGTAATAATTAATCAGAATTATTATTTTTTTTATTTTTATCTGAACTTTCTAATAGTCGGCTATACAGAACTCGAGAGTTCCCCCAGGAATCTTATCTAAGAAAAAATTGATCTGCAATTTCCCAGGGAAAATCGTATTCGCGGCATGACGAAATTCTTGTTCTTTTTTTCGATATAGATATATAAGTGGGGTAGTCAGAACTGACGAGTTTTCCCGAGAATTTTCACGATGGAAGTTATCCATCTAGCCATAATGAAAAAAATTCTATTTTCATCGCTGAATTAAATTCAATCTTTTTTTGGATTAATAGAGAGGTTCGCTACTCAGAACTTACGAGTTTTCTTGAGAATTTCCACTATGGAATATCCATCTGGCCATAATGAAGAAAAACCTCTTTTCTTCTCTCAATTAAATTCAATCTTTTTGTGCACTAATAGAGAGGTCGACTCGACTACGAGAGTTTTCCCGAGAATATTTACGCTGGTAAATATCGATTTACATAGCCGACTATCAGAAAGTTCAGATAAAAATAAAAAATGATAATTCTGATTAATTATTGCCTAAAAAGTTTCAGGACCTTAAAATCATGATTTTTTTCGAAACATTGGGTGTTCTAGATTGCCCTCCACTCAAATAGTTGGAATAAAAATTAAAAAAAATTATCTCCCGATCATAGCGGTCAGGAGAATTATTCGTGCTTATACAACACCGCTCAACGCTAACTATCATGGAAAAAATGCTTTTCTTCGTGTTACAAAAAAAAAAAAAAAACAGATAATTAATACATTATTTATCGCCAGTCGGAATTCCCAAATTATGCTCCTGGCTTGCTAACTTCAGGGGGGTGGCCCGATCGCCCTTAAAATTATTATCTCCAAAATTCTTATCCGTTCTGATATGGCCTTCAACAAAGATATCCCAAAACATGGAAAATCAATTACTCATGATTCATTGCGTCGCTCGCTCCATACAAAAAACATAATTACAGATATTGCTAAAAACAGTGATAACTCATCGATCAATCATAAAATTTTGATTTCTGTCTATTCATAGTAAAATTAATATCGTTTCTGTTCATTTTTCATATTCGCCTCCTCCGTTTTGTAGGCAGAGACAGAAGATTTGATTGTTGGATTATGCATAAAAGCGATAGATTATTCTATTTTTAACATCATCATCGTCTGATTGGCCCTCATACGGTATGATTTTCTTGATTATAAACAACTTACGATTCATGGCTCTGATCTTCAAGAAGTAACTATCACTGTAAATCAATAGACTGATTGAATTTGTCTTAGCAACGCTTTTATATAACCTGTTTCTATCCTTATCTCCAAAACACGCAGCCAAAATTTATATCAGATAGTAGGCATCATATCAGCCATAGATGATCTCAATAATGGAAAACAATTGGAAGCCAACAATTAGATAGATTTTATTGATTCCACATTAACGGACAGAAATTATGATAAAAATAAAACATAATTTTCGCTTCATTGCTTTTATGAGTAGAGAAAATTAGGTCAACTTTTTTGTTAATTTTCTATGTTTAGTGTCGAATCGAATCGGAAATACTTATTTGAATGCAGTCTAAGCTATAATTTATTGACGGTGATTGTGTCCCTTGTAGCCAGCGTGCACTGAATAATCGCAGATTCGCTCCACAGGGTTGTATTGCAAATCAGGAGGGCACTCGATCACGTGGGGTCTCCTGAGATGACACTTGCAGAATTTTCTGCAGTCCCTATGCGGCAATTGCTCCACCTCGTTTGGATCTATACCCAAACATCTGCCGATGCACCCGCGCGTATCATCGGAATGGTGATGTTGACCATGATGACGAGCCTCGATGTCTTCGGACACTCTCAAATGAAAATCGTCAATGATGACTGATCTCGTCTGTGAGGACGGCTTGCTGCAGCCAGAAGCCTCGGGATAATCGCAGACGCGGAGGGTCGGATTGAACTCGAGTCCTGGCACGCAATTCGCTAATTGCTTCTGCCCTTTATCGCAAATGTAGAACGAGGAGCACTTGGTCTCGTGGGGAATCAGAGTTCTGTTGCCATCTGGAGGGCACTCCATGGTGACTGGATCAGAGCTGGTTGGTGTGATTTGTGTTGTTAACGGAAGTCTCGAACACCCGGCGTTCTCGGGCTCATCGCAGGCTTCAGTGCTCGGATTGAAGTGTTTTTTGTTGGGGCACTGGTGTAGGATCAGTCCTGCATCCGAGCACGTGTAGTATTTTTCGCAAATGCACTCGTGGGAGTATGATTTACCGTTGTTGATGCCGCTGGGGGGACAGGAGTCGAACGGATTTGGAGTAGTAGGTGATGAAGGTAATTGGGTAGTAGGTTGTGGAGTACTTTCTGTAGTTGGTTTCTGTGTTGATTGTTCAGTTGTTGTAGGCAACTCAGTAGGTGGATTTGTAGGAGACCCTGTACTCGGTTCTTGTGTGGGATTTTCAGTAGTTGTAGATGACTCAGTAGTACGGCTGGTTGTTGGCCCTGTAGTCGGTTCTTCGGTGAGGTCTTTAGTGGTTGTAGACCACGCAGTAGTTGGACTTGTATTAGGCTCTGTACTCGGCTCCTGTATGGGATTTCCAGTGGTTGTAGGCGACTCAGTAATTGGACTTGTAGTCGGCTCTGTACTCGGTTTTTCTGTGAGATTGTCTGTGGTTGTAGAGGACTCGGTAGTTGGACTTGTAGTAGGCTCTGTACTCGGGTTTTCTGTGGGATTGTCTGTGGTTGTAGAGGACTCG